ATATTATACCCAGTCACTACTACCTACATCCCAGGACCATGGTACATATTATATTCAGTTACGTCTACTTCCCTCCATCCCAGGAGCAGTGATAGTCTTTTATTACACCAAAAGACACAGGGTAAAAATAGTTTCCCTCAAGCTATTACATGATCTAATATTAACATAATCGTAGGATTATATATATGTTAATTTTGATATTGCATATGGTTGTTATTTTGTTTTCATTTCTAAATGAAATAAAAAGGTCAAAAGGTGTGTGTGTTTTAAAAAAATAAATAAAAAATACCTCACTGGTAAATTAAAAACTGAACTAAATTTCTATCATATTTAAAGGAAAACTATTATTTTCGATTCACTGTGTGGGTTTATTACTTAAAGGATCACTATAGTCACCCAGACCAATTCAGCTCAATGCCAGGTCCCCCAGGTTTTAACCCTGCACCTGTAAACATAGAAGTTTCAGAGAAACTGCTATGTTTACATTGTAGGGTTAATCCAGCCTCTAGTGGCTGTCTTCCTGACAGCCGCTAGAGGAGCTTCTTCGACACTTAATGCAAAAATCGCATTGAGCACGCAGAATGTCCACAGGAAAGCATTGAGTACTGCTTTCTAATGGGCGGTTTGAATGCACTCATGGCTCTGGATGCGCATTTGGCTCCACTTGGGAGCTGACGTCGGAGGGGGAGGAGAGGTCACCAGCGCTGGATTAAGGTAAGTGGCTGAAGGGGTTTTAACCCTTTCAGCCCAGCAGGAGGGGGGCACTAAGGGTGGGGAATACCCAAGGACTGTATAGTTCCAGGAAAACAAGCTTGTTTTCCTGGCACTATAGTAATCCTTTAAAGCTCCCATTATACCCACGATTTGTAAACTTTTGTGCCCGAATTTAACCCAGAATTGTATTTCGGATATGCGCTAAAAGCAATTTAGGGATTTTTTTTTGTGCCCATCCGGTTTGATGCAAGACCATTCGTTTGAAGGAACGCTATAGTTTTGGTACATAGACCTTGTCCTTAAGCTGAATTTTCAGCTGAAATTTGTTTACAGATCATTTACAAAAATAATGTAATCCAAAATGACCCCTAAATTGAAAGCAGAATTGGCACGAAATAAACACCATTGGGCTTGAAAGGAACGGGAAAGAGTTTCCAAAATGTCTCCTAAAAATACATAGTCCCATGGCTGCATAAGAAAACAGCAGACACTCTCAGGGTTTCATAGAAATGTGAGAGTTTTGTGGAGTTCAAAGTGAATTTCAAATTCAAGGCCAAAGGATCTGATTTGAAAGCATATCTGAGTTAGAGAAATTTTCAGTTCAGATGCTTTGTCCTTGATATCCACTGAGTGTTCACAACAAGATATAGTACAGAATTAACTAATTCCACTTGTTCTTTTGTAGTTCTTTCATTGCCTTTGCCCATTGTTTCTCTTTTTCTTTGTAACTAAATGACAATTGTTGTGATCATCATCATAAGAGTGGTATGGAGGGATGACTCCGCCTATGTAGTGGTCCTCAGGATCATCTGTTAACAAGAGCGACCAGCTGAATAGTCATTGCATGTAATATTGTAAATTAAAGGGACACTCCAGGCACCCAGACCACTTCTGCCCATTGGAGTGATCTGGATGCAAATTCCCATCAGCCTTAACCCTGCAAGTGTATCAAATGATGTTGGACGTCCTCACACGATGCGGACCTCCAGCGTCACCGGAATCCCCATAGGAAAGCGTTGAATGATGCTTTCCTATGGGAGGTCTAATGCGCATGCGCTGTTATGGTTCATGTCGCACCCTATTAATGAATTCCACCCACCCCCCCCCTTATTTTTATATATATATATATATATATATATATATATATATATATATATATATACACCAGTATATTGGATTAGTGGGTCATGACCTTAGAATTGTGACCCATAGCCAGGGTAGGGTAATATCCCAGTTTACTTGGTATTAAAGGGAAACTCCAGGCACCAATGAATGTTTTGCAGAATGCTGCACCATAAGCCTGCCTATTTAGCCACGCCCACCACTCCAGAAAAAATATTTTCTTATTAAAATGGTCAGCACACAGCTAAGCCACTGACAGTACCGAATGATCTGAATAACAAATAATAAAGATAAACTGTTTGCAGTTTCTCTGTCTGTCTGCAGCCGGTTGTTAAAAAAACAGCTCACTCAGTGCTGTTGGGCCCGAGACTGGCAGGATACGTTTTTAAAGAATTTTTTCTGGCATGAGGGGGGCATGGCTAAGTAGGCAGGCTTATGGTGCAGCATTCTGCAAAACATTTATTGGTGCCCAATGTCCTATTATAGGAACACTCAACGCAACATAACCACTTAACTCTAATGTAAGTTGTCAAACCTTTTTTGAACAGTTTGACTTTTTACCTGGGTTCCGATGGGTGCCACGTCCCTCCACTATTCCTTTAGATAGGTGGAAACTCCTACTTTAGAGCTTCTGTTAGCGCTATTGAGCTCAGCCTTGCAATGCAGAACTAGTTTATTGGCTGAGAGCAACAGGTCAATATTCTCAGCTAAATTCTGATTTACGAATATTAATATATTTTTCTTGACTGTTGACTCTTTTTTTCTTATCTACACAGTGGCTCTTCTTGGAGGTTTTTGCAGTCTGCACAGTACAGAAGAACTGGAAACCCCTCTCTGCTTTCTTCTTCTGATTTCTTTTTGAATTTTGAGATAGATGATGTAATTTTAAGTGATGACTCTACATCTGCAGAGGAAGATTTTGATTCTTTAGTTTTATTTGGATCATTGAGAGGGAATGTTGTTGGCTTGCGTTACTACACTGGAGTGGTATGTATGTTGTAAATAATTACAATAAAGGGGTTACCTGTGGCAACGTATACAAATGTGCCGATTATCTGAAATTATGTGTTGAATTGAGGTGCTGATTGAAACATATGTACATGTGTATGCACACATTTAAAAATCTAATAGTACAATTGTTAGCACATTTATAAAAAAGGAGAAAATTGTGCAAGTGCCAGCTAAAATAGCTTTGAACCTTCCTAGTGCTCAATACATAAAATTTGCATAGTCATGTCACACATGTATGAAACATTATGCTAATAGCTAAAAATTGGTAAAGGTTGCCAGAATAAATCTTATCCAGGTGCTATCCTAAAGAGGCATCTGTGTCATGCCAAACCACCATATATCTATATATACAAAAGGACACACACCTCAGTACTAACTGATCAAACAACTTTATTATACAATTGAAATTATACAAAACAATTACAATACAATACTACAATCTATCAGTGATAGTGATAGACGCTATAAATAATAAAATGCACCAAAAACAGAATGAGAACTCACTTACATAAAGTTTCAAAGGGCTAGACATGTGAATCAAAATATCCCCAACGTTTCGGTATCAGCAATAGTGCCTTTCTCAAGGGACAGTCTCCAAAACATTGGAAGCATAATGCAAAATGCAATACTGCAAGGTCATTGGTGAATGAAAACATCTTCCAGAGCTGCCAAGGACTCTCCGTAGAAGAATTGGAAATCCACTCAAGGAAAATGATACATTTCAGCAGTCAAACATTTTTACTTCTAAAGCCTAGGATTTTCCATTGTTTCTCCAATGTCTTACAATTTCTACTCATCCCATTGCAATAAGAAAGTTGACATTTAGGCCTGGTGAGGGTGAACTGCAACTTTATGCTGTTTGGAGGCAGCAGTTTCATTTTCATAGTGATTGCAGAGCAGCCTAAGTAAGTGAGGGACTGGCAACTACATTGTGTCAGAATATGCAGCTCAGGATTTTATACTCTGCTCTACAACCTCTTTTCTTCACTACAGTAGTGATGTCGCGAATTGTTCGCGAACGGCTCGCCACGGTTCGCGGCGAACCGTTCGCGGCGGGCTCCAGTCAGCTGACACATCCCTGCCAATATGCAGCAGACCCTCCCACCTCCTGGACAGCATCCATATTGAAGCTGCCACATCAGATTATATACGTAAAGATCCCAAGATTTGTATTCTGCTCAGAATGTTTTACTTTCATTTTTACTGCTCGCCCCTCCCTCCTCACACTTAGCTTCTTGTATATTTATTCCACTCCAAACAATCTTTGTTCTATTCATTAAACATCTCAAAATTTTGCACTTAAAAGGTTAGGTGTGGAGTCTGTGTTCACAGATTTGCAATGGGATGGATTACTTTTTTTAACTTTTGTATGCTTATTTTATAACATTTTTGCTGTAAAGAAGAGACATGAGAACAGTTTTTGAACTGCAAATCCAAGCATATGTGATATCATCTAGGTAGAAAAACTGGTCAAAATAATCTTATGGAAATCTCTGAGAGAGCATTTCATTGTGAATGGATTAACTGGATTAATTGTCCAAATTCTGAATCAAAACAAAACCTACAATTGTCCTTTGTTTGTTCTACCATATTTTAAGGGTTTCTCCTAAATTGCCCCCATACATATTATATATTGGGTTTTCTTAGGGACACTATAGTCACCCGAACAACTTTATCTTAATGAAGCAGTTTTGGTGTATAGAACATGCCCCTGCAGCCTCACTGCTCAATCCTCTGCCATTTAGGAGTTAAATCCCTTTGTTTATGAACCCTAGTCACACCTCACTGCATGTGACTTGCACAGCCTTCCATAAACACTTCCTGTAAAGAGAGCCCTATTTAGGCTTTCTTTATTGCAAGTTCTGTTTAATTAAGATTTTCTTATTCCCTGCTATGTTAATAGCTTGCTAGACCCTGCAAGAGCCTCCTGTATGTGATTAAAGTTCAATTTAGAGATTGAGATACAATTATTTAAGGTAAATTACATCTGTTTAAAAGTGAAACCAGTTTTTTTTTTCATGCAGGCCCTGTCAATCATAGCCAGGGGAGGTGTGGCTAGGCCTGCATAAACAGAAACAAAGTGATTTAACTCCTAAATAGTGATGTCGCGAATTTTTCGCGAACGGTTTGCCACGGTTCGCGGCGGACTCCAGTCAGCTGACACATCCCGGCCAATATGCAGCAGACCCTTCCACCTCCTGGACAGCATCCATATTGAGGCTTCAATATGGATGCTGTCCAGGAGGTGGGAGGGTCTGCTGCATATTGGACGGGATGTGTCAGCTGACTGGAGTCCACATTGAACGGTTCGCCGCGAACCGTTCGCGAAAGATTCGCGACATCACTACTCCTAAATGACAGTGAATTGAGCAGTGAAATTGCAGGGGAATGATCTATACGCTAAAACTGCTTTATTTAACTAAAGTAATTTAGGTGACTATAGTGTTCCTTTAAAGGCCAGAGGGGACTTTATTTTAGCATCCTATATGTATACCTAACATAACATTAAAGGGACACTTTAGGCACTAGAACAACTTAAGCCTATTGTATTTGTTCTGGTGAGTATGATTATTTCCTTCAGACTTTTTGCAGTAAACACTGTCTTTTCAGAGAAAATGCAGTGTATACATTACAGCCTAGGGATACCTCCACTGGCCACTCCGAATATGGTTACTAGAGGTGCTTCCTGCCATTCAGTGTCTCCACCCTCTGCATGGAGACACTGAACTTCCCTTATAGAGATGCACTGATTCAATTAATCTCTATGAGGATATACTGGTTGGCCAGGGCTGTGTTTGGCTTGTGTTAGCTCTGCCTCCTTGACAAGCTCAGCTAACCCAATGCTTTACTTTGTGAAAGCATTGTAATCGGCTCAAAACACCACTTCTGATGATGTCAGCCAAGCAAGCAGTTCAGGGACAGAGCCAGCAGCAGCAGACTGGAATAAATGTAAGATATTGCTATATTTAGGGGGGCAAGTAGGGGCTAGGGGAGATAAATGGTGGGTTTAACTCTATAGGGTCAGTAATACATGTTTGTGTTCCTGACCCTATAGTGTTCATTTAAGAGTAAATAAAATGTTAAAAATGTGTTTCGGGGGAGGGAGAGGGGGAATTATTTCACATTTTTGCATTTAAAAAGGAATACAATGTTACGAATTGGAACAAAATTAAAAAATATTCATTTTTGTTCCCACAATTTTGCTGATATTAATTTTACACATCATGAAAAATAACTCAAAATACGTATCAATACTGTAAAATGTCTTATATGTCTAGTATCTAAATTAATTTTTGGCAGTTACTGCAAACTCTACTTCACTCCTCCCCATCCATCTCTAGCCATAACCCCTTGATTACACTAACTCCAACCATACACCCACCCTAATCTCAACTGTAACATGAATCCTAATACTATCACTAACTCTAAAACAGCCTTAAATTTAACCCAGCATTAACCCTTACCCTAAGCTAATGCTAACCCTAACAATAACTGTAAACTTACCACTAATTCAGAGGTATACTCTCTGCTGAAATCAGTTACTCAATACAGAAGAGCTAAGTCTAGACACACTGTGAATAAATGGTAAAATAGATAGAATAGTACATTTTTATATAAGATAGAAAAAAAGTGTTTAAAAAACAAAACATAACAACAAAAGACTGTATATTAATAGTATAACATTATCATAATTATGCTATTCACTATTGTTCTGCTACCGTGTTTCTCAGAAAATGAGACATCCCCTGAAAATAAGCCCTAGCTTATTTTCGGGGGCTGCTCGTAATATAAGCCCTACCCTGAAAATAAGCCTAATTTTTAAGGAAAGACGGTATTAACTGAACCAAAAATTATGTTCCTTGAAATTTACCTGTTTTTTGTTTTTTTTATAAATTTTTTCAGGTAAACAACAATGAAATGGTTGCACTTCAGAGGGAACCAAACAATCAATACGACCGAAATGCAGTCAAAGTTAATAATATCAATGGTGAACAAGTTGGCCACATTAAGAAAGAACTGGCTGCTGCTCTGTCATATATCATGGACAATAAGTTAGCAAGGGTTGAAGGGTAAGTAGCAAGATCATTTTGGAATTCTCTATGAATCAATTGGTTTTTGTCTGCATTCACAACCTGTGTTTTATTTTATTTTTTATTATTTTTAGACTTCTAGACAAAATACGTGAAAATATATAAATGAAGCATTTTAGTACCACAATTTTAACTCTATTTGGATTGTTAGCAAGAAAAACCCATATTATATTTCTTTTAAACCGGCACTGTCATGCCGAACTTACCTTTCTTTAATTGATTCATCTTCTCTCCGTTCTTCATTTCTTGCTGTGTGCTCTAGTTTTCTTTAAAACATCAGACAAAGTAAGGACTACTTTGTCTTATGGAGGTTTCCAACGCCTGACCCTCTCTGACCAGCAGAGGAACAAAGTGTGCTCCATTTCCAGTGGTCAGAGCAATTTTCCTACAATTCTCACCTTTCGTCCCTGATCTCGCGATGCTTCCTGTCCGTATACCCGAACGTCCTGTCACTTGGACAGAACATCGGCGAAACTACCGAATTTCGTCCTAACTGAATGAGAACCGTCTGTTCATTCATGTTAAGATGCAATTCGGGACTTCGTTTGTATCGGAATTTCATTCTAATGAATGAAACTCCGATCCTATTCGTGCCATGGCTGCATCTTGCAGCCGCTTAGTAGATAACTCCCTAATTCCCACGGTATTAGGGAGCTATCTATCAAAAGGCTGAAAGACCAAAAAAAATCCAATGCTAAAAAATAATCGATCTTCACCCATGGAGAGCACGCAGAATGAGCTCCGCAGTGAGCTGAAAGGCTTATAAATTAGGCTGAGAGCGCTCTGATTGGTTGGCTTGAAATCCAACCAATCAGAGTACTCTGTGTCATTTTACACAGCGTGGGAAAGTTCTTTTGTATTTTCCTATGCTGTGTAATTTGACTCATAACTCCCTGATTGGTTGTTTGATAGCAACCAATCGGAGTGTTGTTATGAGTCAAATTACACAGCATGGGAAAATTCCAAAGAACGTTCCCACGCTGTGTAAAATTTGTTTTTGTTTTTTAAAGTGCGACAGGTATTATGGACTTATATTTAGCCTTTTTTGGGGCTGAAAAAATAAGATTTTAGAAAAAAGAAGGCATCAAATTGTAAGTTTTATTTAGGTTTTACAGGTATTTAGTTCTCTTGTTCCCTCCTCACTATTCTTAGGGTTAGGGGGGGTAGGGGTTTATTAATTTTTTTTTATGGGTGGAGGGGTGGAGGTGGGCTACTAGGGGCTTGGGGATCCCTAGTCACGTGGGGGGTTAACATTTTCATTTAGGGCCCCCACCTGCTGCTCAGGGGTGGGGGCCGGGGGAGGACAATAGGTCGTTGTCCCCCTACATTTTCATTTAGGGCCCCCACCTGCTGCTCAGGGGTGGAGGCTGCAGGGGAGGACAATATTTAGGGCCCCCACCCGTCACTCAGGGGTGGGGGCCAATAGCCCCCCCATTTTTATTCAGGGCCCCCACCTGCCGAAGAACAGATCCTGACAGAGGGAGAGAACAGGAATCTATTAAAGAAAGGTAAGTTCGGCATAATGGTGCCGCTTTAAGCAAATCCATGCCTTTATAATGTTACCCGAATTGTTTAATGATTTAACTGTTGGTCTTTGTAAATGCAGTGTAGCATTTGCAGGGAATTAGTCAGTTCTTAAAGGGACACTCCAGGCACCCAGACCACTTCTGCCCATTGGAGTGGTCTGGGTGCCAACTCCCACTACCCTTAACCCTGCAAGGTAATTATTGCAGTTTTTATAAACTGCAGTAATTACCTTGCAGGGTTAACTCCTCCTCTAGTAGCTGTCTACTAGACAGCCACTAGAGGGCACTTCTGGGATCATAGCACAGATTTGTGAGGACCTCCAGCATCGCTAAAATCCCCATAGGAAAGCATTGAAAGCATTTTCAATGCTTTCCTATGGGGAGGTCTAATGCGCGTGCGTGGCATTGCGGCGCATGCACATTAGGTCTCCCCCACCGGCGGGCGTGATCAGTCTCCCCCGCCGGCTGGCGTGGGTGGACCAAGAAGCAGCGCCAAGGGACATCGTCGCTGCCTCTGGTAAGTCACTGAAAGGGTTTTGACCCATTCAGCAACCGGGGGTGGGAGGGAGAGGGGACCTGCAGTGCCAGGAAAACGGATTGTTTTCTTGGCACTGGAGAGTCCCTTTAAGATCACATTATTCTTGTAATCAGTCTGTTTAACAAAAGCATGTTTTTATAGCTAGCGCTAGAGTAGATTTTATTTAAACCACTAGTCAACAAGACTGAATTTAAGTAATGATTTTTAAATGGAAATATTAAATTCTTGCTACTTGTTATAATCGTTCATGTTTGCAACCAGATGAAGATTCATACTTATAATAATAAATGTTCAGATTAGTTTAACAGTTAATCAGATCTGATTTTGTTATATACCATTAGAAATATAGAGATCGTTCAAAAGCTTTAACTTGCCTCACTCTACAGACTGAAAAGAAAACAATTTTGATTTATGAAGCAAAATATGATTGTTTTTGTTTCATATTTACCTGTTTTTTTCTTATGCTTGCCAAAACCGCTCCCAGGTGGTCACTGATCTAACCAATCAGTGTCCTATCCCTGGGGATGCTGGAAAAGTGTATTTAGCATGCCTGACAGATTTACACATGTGCAGTTGGAAGATCTCTTCACCGTTCAGGATCCTGGGGGAGGGAGCCGTTCAATGCCTATTGCGATTTTCAGTATAGTTTTAAAAACACTAGCTTATTGTAACAATGACAGACCTGCCTTTGTCATCTTCTCATATCTGCCATGCTATCACTATGGTCATAAAATGATGAGAATTATGAAAGTGATCTGTTTTGTGATTAGTGAGTTTGTTGTATTTTTAGGGTGGTGCCACATGGAGCCAATAATGCATTCACTATGCCAGTGAATCTGAATTTTTGGGGAAAACCAGAAAACAAACAGGCAGTTTTAGACAGAATGAAAATCCATGGATATAAGCTTGGACCTCTTCCTGCAAGTAAGAACTATGTTAATAGACGAACTGTTAAATATCTAAAACTAAGCCCACAATTTGGTAAAGATTCTACATGTTCATGCTTTTCATATTTTCTGTAGCTTCACTAGTCATTAGTCTAAGACAGTCTCTAGTTATCGTCCAACATAATTAATCTCATTGACATGAGCAATTTTGTAAACTAACCTAATACAGATACTTTTGATATTCT